CCATATAGTTCTGTATACTCTCGTGCTGTCACGTACCCGTGTTTGACTATAAATTCCGTGCACCATTTTTTATAGGGTGAATGAAAAAGATGCAGTAATGGGAAGAAATGAAACGGCATTGTGTAAGGGTTGGTAATGAAGTAACAATCGACGAAAAATGTAGTAAACAGGTTCTTGAATGTAATCATAAAATTGTAACGACTTTACTGTGGAGAAATGAGGTAATTTCACAGCGTGAAAATTTTTGCGTAACAGCGGGCATTATACTATAAATCACATTATTATTGGTTGCCTCATAATCATGTGACTTGTTGAAATCTCAAGGCGTAATGAACGTTCTGATTAGCCTATTTAATTTCGGGGGAGCGCTTGGAGGTGAAGGGGAGAACGTTAAACGAAATTATAATTTCAAACAGTCATGGTTATTTTTTGTAGCAGTAACAACTGCAATCCTAGACAGTAGTAGCACATTAAATATTCTAGGTCAATATTGGCTACATGCGTATATCGATTTTTGAATGTGATAAGCATGGCTTTGCAAAAGAGAATGTAAAATCAGGTTAAAATTTTGTTTATGTGTGTGGCTCCTTTTCTTGTTGAAAACAATAAACATAGCCTCTGAATTATCATAAGTCATTTGATGATAAAAATTAGTCAATTTATTCTTTTTTTTTTTTTTTTTTTTTTGAAACGCTAGTAAATATGCACGGTAAGATAATAAATACTATAAAAAGGAGACGTAAGTAAACAACAAATAATTTGAAAATAAAAACATTATTGTGCCACATTTTTGTAATGATAAAGTTTTCACTTCAGGCGCTTTTCGCTCAAAAATGAAATACTCATTTTGAAAGCAGTACAAAATTTTCTGTGATAAACATAACTGATCGATCTGCAGTTTAAGATTAGTCAGAAACAAATCCTGTACTTTTTTCAGAAACAAGAAGGTGAAGATTTGGATACAAAAAAAGTTGGAATGTCCGAAGCATCGCAAACTTCTACTTCGAAAGAAGCGCAAATAGAAATTTCTGTCCCAGAGGTAATATATGCCCATTAATTACTATCAATTAACAAAATTAATCATTGATTTCTTACTATTACCTATTCACCCATTACTACAAATTTTTGAGAAACAGACTCCTTCAGAAAGCTCTACATCACAAATAAGTTTCTATCGAATCCTTCAATCATTAATAGATCTAGTAAGACCAAGTAGTGAAAACCCGGAACAATCAATAAGTATTGCTGATGATGAATGGGTACAACAAGGAATTATAGTAATACCGGTAGAGCCACTTAGGGAACTACATTTATTAAGTGAAGAGGACCAAAAACTTTTTGAACAAATGAAAACGTGGGTGGCAGATTATCCGGAAAAGGGACTTATTGAATGTGTTGAAGAATTCGGTAACAAAATAAACTTCAACTCATCAAATATTCTAAATACTTATATTTGTCACTAATTTAGCATCTTTGACATTTATTAAATAGCAAATTACCCATTAGGTGACGCTTTAGCGAAGGTGCTTTACAACTATCAATTCCCTGATTTCATCATTACATACAGAATTGATACAAATGACAAACATTTAAAAGAAAAAGGAATAAAACGAAAAAACTTCGAGAAATTATTGCTAAAAGCCAGATTAGTTGTCGAACATGAACGAGATGGTGTTAGTGATACTGTATACATGAAATTGTTCGCTCCATTTCAAAAGTTATGCGAACAGGCAGAAGTGATCAAATTGAGGATGAGATTGAATGTAAATATTATTAAGAGAGTGTAAATTTTCATCAATGCTAAGAAATAAAAAACTATCTATTTACAGATAACAAGTATGAAGGATGAATTGAAAGAACTAGAAAAGCTGATTCCTCAAATAAAACCTCATATCGCCAAAATCATGAGATATTTCACACACCCTATAAATTTTGCAAAACAGTCTGCTATTTTTAAGTTAGAAAAAATAAGACAATTTGAGGGCGCCGAAGAGTCCAGATCCATTAGTGATATTATGTTGAATTTTTTTCCAATGTCACGAAGGAGTTTAATGGTATTTAATAATTTTATTGAAAGATGTTTACTTATTTAAATATGTGAGTGAATTTCAAATAAAAGAACATTCAACTTTCTTTTAATGAATATAGGTTTATAGAATAATAGTAATAGCTAATCAGATTCAAAAGACAGTATTATATAAAGGCAACCAAATTTTGGCTAAACGTCAAGTAACAGCGTTATCTATTGGCAATTTGATCAAAAACGACGTATTCCTTAGTTACTTTCCAATACACGATGGTCCCTACACGCATGACAAAGCAGTCAATGTTGAAAAATTAGTAGAACAAAGTTTTTACGGTGAACCAACGTATAAAATTAGCGATGACGATAGAAAACCAATTCTTGAAAGTGTTAATGATAAAGATGACGGCGAAAAACCAGCTTCTGATAGAAAACATAATGTGGAAGTAAATAAACGAGCTTGGCTATATGACAATTGGGTCAGTAGTATAGGTAGACAACCATTAGAGGAGATTAGAGAATATTTTGGAGAAAAGATGGCATTATATTTTGCTTGGTTAGGTGTGTTCAAATTATTTAAAGCACAATTTTTTTTTTCAGTAGGATTAATTTTTTTAGCAAGCATTATTTAATCAAAATTTTAATTACAGGTTTCTATACCACTTGGTTAACGATAGCATCTATAGCTGGTGTCCTTGTTATTGTAAATGGGATAATAGAAGGCATAAAGTAATTCTTCGTCTCATAGAAAAAGCTTAATTGTCATGATAATAATAATTTTTGTTCTGCTTTTAGGACTCAGGCACTTGGTAGCGCTGTTGGAATTTCCATTATTTGGGATAATTCATTGACAGCTCCTTTTGCTTTTTTCATGTCTATATGGTGTAATTATCTGATTTATTCTTAGCTCTAATTATATTTTCTATGTGTAAATGGAATGATATTTCCTGTTAATTTGTTTATTTATCACACTTAACAGCCGTGTTGTTTTTACAATATTGGAAAAGAACAAATGCATCAATTCAATATGATTGGGATGTTATGGAGTTTGAAAAGGAGGTTGGTTCATTACTTTTAAGTCTTTTAATGATGCGTGATTATTGTATTTTAATCCAAATTTGCGCTTAGGAATTACTAAGGCCAGAATTTTATGGGACAAGTATATTTTCTTTGATTAATAATAAATATATAATATGTATATATATAAATATTGATGTTAAATCTATAGCCCTTCGTAAATCTCCAATCACGATGAAGCAAGAAATTCATTTTCCATTAAAACAGAGACTCCAAAAATTGGCCGTTTCCGGCGTGGTTGTTTTTGTTTCCGTAAGTGATAATTTCGTTTCTTGGGTTACCTTTGAATAATTGTGATAAATTAAATAAAATCAGATTTGTAATATTAATATAAAAATATGTAGTCATAATAAAATGTTTGATGATTAATTTGAGGTCTTTTAGGATTAGATTAGGTTGGGATAGGATAAAATTATGTACAATTATGAATTGAGTTTTCGTATAATTAACATGTCAGCTTTCATCTTAAATTGATTAATCATTCTTTATATACAGCTAAGTATTACCGTAATAACAATAGCCGTCTTAATATTGGTCCCGAAACTATGGATAGAAGTTGGAATTTGGACTTCAATCCTAACTGCCTGTGTGAATTTAATTACTATATTGATATTAAATATGGTATGTCTATTATTTATATATTGCTATATGTTAGAATTGTACTAAATTACTCTAATTAGTTATACAGTAGAGTTGCATTATGGTTAACAAATTTTGAGAACCATAAAACTCAAACGCAATTTGAAGGTACAAAATCTTATTCGTCATATTGCTACTTTGTTACTTAAATTTATTAATTTTTTTTTTCGATAAATAGATTCTTTAATTTTAAAGTCTTTTCTTTTTGATTTTTTCAATTTTTATTCCACATTATTTTATATAATGATTTTTAAAGAACGGGTAATTTTTTTCATTCCTAATTGGTCGCAATTATAACCTCAAAGTAATATATAATTTTGACATTTTATAAAAAAAAGTTCGCACATGATATTGTGAATGAAGTGAACATTGGATGTGATTATGGCAATTGCATGATAGAACTTACAATTCAATTAGCGATTATATTAGTCGGCAGACAACTTGTCGGACAATTCCAAGAAATACTTATACCGTACGTATTCACTTAGGAAATGCTAAACATTCTGATCCGGAGCGTAATTTCATCCGCCAAGAATATATCACGTATCAGACATCTAATCAATGTATAGTCAACTCTCCATAAATGCATTCCCTTGGGACTATATGCAAAATTTACATCTAGAGAGGGTGTACATTTATGGAGGGCATTTTATTAAGTGCTCTATATGTTGTGGCTGAAGATTAGTGTGTATTTAGAGAGGATACACATAGTGCATATATTTATGGAGGGTTGAATAGCTTTTACCCAATTCTAGCTTTATAAATATATCACGTGCTGGACATCCATCAAAGCGTTCATATAATAGATTCTCCGCTACACTCCGGATAATTAAAATAAGTTCTTTATTTGTATTCTAGCTCATTTTACTTTTAATTTTACAGTTGGGCTATGGGTAAATTTAACCGAAATCAAATTGTGAAGGATATAGAATCATTAAAAAAAAAATACAAGCACTCTGGCAGGAAAAATGTACCTCAATGGGTCCACGATGATAGATTGTCATGTTCTGCTGGTACTATAATAGAATATGAAGAAATGGGTCAGTATTTCTCGTTTTGCGGCATAAATTTGCAAATTATTATTTTACAATTGACATTAATATATTTGTTCTGTTATAGTTATCCAATTTGGGTTCATTTCATTATTTGGACCCGCTTTTCCGTTAGCTCCTCTATTTGCTTGGCTAAATAACCATACAGAGATTAGATCTGACGCTTTTAAAGTAAGATTTTTTTATTTAAATACAAGAATAACTTATTCCTATTTAATAATAATTATTATTTGTTTCAATATTCCATCAGTATCTAGTAACATTACAAAGACCAGTAGGCTTCTTAGCCCAAGATATTGGAATGTGGGAATATATTCTAAACATTCTGACTTTGATGGCAGTATTAACAAATGCCATAATTTTAGCATTCCATTCTACATGGATGAAACAACAATTTCAAAACTATGTCGACGACCCTGATGATGAAGATCAAATATTGTTCGTCAGGTTGGCTTTTATATTGATCTTTGAGGTATAATAATTGATTTTTTTAATTATTTGATCTATATTCTATCAATATTAATTTTATTTTCCTAATCTCATCTTTAATAGCATCTATTTTTCTTAATACAACTATTTATCTCATATATAATACCTGATGTACCGCGTACAGTTCGATTAGCGACTGAAAGAGAGAAATATTTAGTAAAATTAACAATGGATGATGTACCACCTGCTTTAGATGAATTTTTATCAACTGATGAAAGTGATGATCTATTCGATGAAAATGGAGAATTAAAATTGCCAAAATACACTATTGATGAAGGTATTCTAACTAGAAGTAGATCGGGATTCAAAGGATTTGAGGGCTTTAAAAAGAGTTTAAAAAGTGGTCTAGACGTTGTTGCCAGCGGTGTTAGTAATGTTGGAGGAATTACTGAGGGAGTTGTCAGTGATGTAGGTGCTGCTGTTAGTAATGTTGGAGGAATTACTGAGGGAGTTGTCAGTAACGTAGGTGCTGCTGTTAGCAGCGTAATGGGTACGACTGACGATTCTGAAAAAGATCAGCAAGAAAAAAAGTGATAATTATGTTGAATGTTGTATAGTTCATTATTTATTCAAATTGTATGACTTTAGATTTTTGGGTTAAATAAATAATATCACCAATAACATATTTTGCGTTCAAATATCAAAATATTCTTATCATTATATATAATAGTAGGAAATTCAGATTCATCACAAAGTATGTTTTACGTAGGTCTATGTAAAATTTTTATAGGAAGTTATGTAGAAGTTTATTAAACCTTATAAAAATTTATAAACCCAATGTAGTTATTTATATAAATCTATATATATTTCTATATAGAACTATGTAAAATCGCAAAAAAAATTTAAATTGAATATTAAGGCTAGAATTAGATTTTAAAGTTTAATTAGGGGTTTGGGGAAGGTTTTCGAGCATGTTGAGCATTTTTACTTAGTGCATCGAGCGGTGATTACCTTTGCCACTTTTGAGAAATAGCTAAAGTAAATCAAATTATTTTTATGTAAATATTTATATAAATTTTATATTTATGTAAATATTAAATAAAGAGTAAAGATCAGGTGTAACGTTACACATTACAGAAAATTCAAAACAAACGTTCAAAAAAAATTCCTTTCAAAATCTTACTATAGAACCTTTCTTCGCCTGTATACTAATTCTAACCTTACCCTAACCCTAACTAATGAAAGAAAATGGCTGTTTTGATTTCACGTTACACCTGATCTTATGATCTGCATCAGATGCGCATTACGATGAATAAATTATCCCTTAAATAAATCATATATAAATGTGATATTAAATAATGTATAAAATTTATAACTATAAAAGACTACATTAAAGTTGGTACTCAAAATGAAACCTACCCGAAACTAGTTTCAGAAGGTACTAATCGAAACTAGTTTCAGATTTTTTAAAAAAAATTGAAACCCCAAAACCTGAAACCCCAAAACTGTAATCCAAAACCCTGAAACTATAATCCAAAATTTTGAAATTATAATCTGAAATTTCAAAGATATAATTTTTAAATTTTAAAATTATAATATATAAATTAGGTTTTTACTTAAATTAACCAGCGGTAATCATCACCGGTGTATAATTAATAAGGTAGCCGCGCGACACAGTCGCACTAGAAACCAGGAACGAAGGTATATAGCTAACAAATAGTTAAAGCAAATGTAAATAGGAAATCAATAAGAAC